CGGTTTAATAACTTGTATCTTGTTTTTTTTTTTTTTTTTCTTTCTATTTTATTTAATTGGAAAGATAGGACGGTGGTTATTCGCTTGATCGGGCCAAGGATGTCGTCGGGTATCACCGATAGCCACGAATATCTGGTAGACCGCAAACGTATACAGATATCCGTCGTTTCGTGTTGGCTGTCACGTTCCGATAAGTATTCTGATGGATTTAACTGGACGTGCGAATTGACGATACGACACGAACCGATGTATACACTCTACTGTTTCATTTCATTTCATTTCATTTCATTTCATTTCATTTCATTTCATTTCATTCTTTCGGCGTTGCGTGGCAAACGAGTTCGTTGGAAATTCATTGAAAAAGTTCGAAAGGAAAGTTTGCAACGAAACTTTTGTCCAGATGATTCAACGAACCGTTTTATGGTGCAGTCTCAACTAAAGACTAATATGATTTCAAGCTTGAAACGTGACGATTCTGGGTTAAGTGGGTTAAAATACCAGGTCAGATGTAATATTGTGATTTTAATCCAGGTACAAGTCTTTCTAGTAGGATTTTCAACAGTTTGAGGAAGAGAATCGTAAGAAATCGTCTGGGACCCTGCTGGGTTTTCAGGTTATAAATGGATGGACAAAAGAGGGAGATTCTATGGAACTGGAATAGGAATGGTGATTAGTATAATGATAACAATAGTAATGTTATAGACCTAGGAGGAACATGCGAATGGAAAGTTCTATTGGGTCCATTTTTAGGTAAAAAAGTGATTGATCCAGAATTACTATTTTATAGAGAATAGAGGAATTCCCTGCACCTTTCCTTTAGTTTACCTAATTTTCTTTTCTTCTTATCCCTCAACGAGAACCTTTCGTTCTTTCCTCATTTATTTACTCCCCCTTCTCGTGTACAGAAGGAAGAAATATCGCGTTTTCTCACTCCCTGGTGGCTGCAAGAAAACGAGAAAAGGAGAAATGAAAGGATGCAGCAACGCGGAAAAATCGAAAGCACCAGATGCTCTTTCTTGCTTTCTTTTGCTCGCTGAGCAACAGGGATGCATCTCACCTTCTAAATATCCACTCACAATCAGTGTGATATAAAAAGAAAAAGAAAAAGAAAAAGAAAAAGAAAAAGAAAAAGAAAAAAATGTTGTAATACTACTATACGGAGTGTCTTATAATTTTCTTCGACAAGTGTATTTTAACGTTCCTTGCGTTTGATCGTGACACGTTAATGACGTCATTGGACCCACTCAGCCGATAGACGGAAGTCATCGAAGCGATAAACATATTTTATTAAGAGGGGACCTTTTTGTCGCAAGGCGAAGCATTCTTGCGCTTAATCTCTGCCTCATTATTCGCTTTGTGAAAATTATCAAGAATCTATAGATGCCATTTTTGGTCCCCCCTTTTTTCCCTGATGAAATGTCAGACAGATAATTTTCGAAAGAAGCCAAAATCTTTTTTTCCCTTTTTTTCCATGAAAAATGACCTATATCTATAACTTGTCACACAGAGGGTTCAGGCAATTTTTTAATAATGATTGTCTTTTTTAATACTTAAGAATAGGAATTTTCTCGCTGTTACTAATCATTTCTAAAGAAACTATTTATAGAACTACATGACCCAGTTTGTACGCAACAGTTGTGACGACTAAATTCTGCAGAAAACAACAGACATATTTGTCACAGAGTACCCATAATATCACAAACGTAAGAATAAGCATGATATTCATTTATTTATTATTTATTAAATTTTGTATCGAATGATCTGATACAATTTTTTCAATGGTGATATTATAAGTCAATGGTTTTATGTATTTTTTTAAGAAAATCGATTAGTAATTCCTGATTTGTACATATTTATCGAGAAGTAACAATGTTCAGCTGTTTAACTAATCGTAAGTAAGAATTTTATTTCGACAATAAAAAAATCACTGGTCGTTTCACTTATCTGGAAATATTGACGTTGAAAGGGAAACCGAAAGGGTGCATTAACTAAATTACAGTGCGGAAACCGCTTGAATCCGCGGGTAGTACGCTCGATGAAAAGCCATGGATTTATAAATTGTGTGGACATAATTAGCGAGAAAATTAATGATCAATTAAATATTAAAATATTAATCAAGGTAGATTCGTGAATTATTGAAATAATTAATATAATTAGAATTGCATTAATGAAAGATAACCTGAAGAATGTTTAATTTTTGGTTGTTAATATGTATTAACATTTATTTTGCAACATTTTTAAGATATGTTTCTTTGTTTTTTTAATAGGGTACAGGAAATAATATTGTTAAATTGTTATAACTATCACCTGTCATTGAAAATTTCATTTGTATCGGAAGCAGTGAAATGACAAATACGACAAATCGTGTTTTTTTTTTTTACAGTTACTCGTTATATAACGCCTCCGAAACAATACCAACCTCGTGTTACGTGATTTCAGTAAATTTGAAAGCTGGATCGATGAATGAAAGCGAGGCGTTCATGTGTTGCAATCGTACTCCCGTTTCCGGTTGAATGAACAAAAATAAAAGAGTAAATTTCCTTGGTATTCAACAAAACTTTGTACAACATCGAGTTCGTGCATTTATTTTTTCGTAAATTAAAAATCACGTGGATAATTTTGCATGAAATTTAACTCCTCCTTTTCTTTAATTAAGCTTCGGATTAATATCCTTGTATGTAGATATTTTATTTATAAGTTTAGGTCACGATTGGCCCAGGCTCCGTTGTTCAAGGGTTGAATCTATAAACAATTGAGGATATGTACTTAGGAACAATAATTTGGTTGATATTTATCTGAATTGTAAAGAAAAATGAAAGAAGGCAAGGGATCAGCCTCGGGTCAAATGAAATTTCTGAAACCCCACGTTGACCTTCGATCGACATCTTACACCTGTATGAACCTCAAGATTAGATTGGATTTGAACGTGACGCAAGAACGACGATGCGGATCAAGGATGAACGCGACGAACCGGTTGAACAACGTTCATGGGGTTCACAAACGATCACACGTTCTATTTATTCTTTGCCAATAACATCTATTACCATCAAATTTATAGGTTTTATTTACCAATATGGTAATATGGCACAATTTAATTATAATATTATAACATTAACACCTCTCCGGAATACACATATGTTACATATAATACTCCTGAAACCGGTCAATACTTTTACTATGACTTTATACAATACATTGACCGTGTCGTCTTATGCCACCATCAGGTCAACAAGGTTGGTATCTTATGACGACACGATTAATTAATACCTACTTGTGGTAATTAAGGTGTTAGTTAGTAGTCTTTTTTCTATACAATTTGTAACTCTCTTTGATATTTATTTTCAAATTGGGAAACGGAAAGGAGAACAGTTACTGTACTTGATAGAATGACACTGACGCTTACAGTGTCAATGATCTCCGTCCCTGAACAGTTTATTTAGCATTCTAATGGAGTGTAGTATCTAGTCATGCGAAAATTGACATTGGCTCATTACTGGATACCTTCGACAAGGTTAATACCCGTTTAAGTGGCATATTGTCATTGCCCTCACCACTGCTATGAACCTGAAAAATCAAAGCTATTCTTTCATCATATTTTTAACGTTAATTAAGCAACACTCGATATCGCGTGAGCAGACATTTAGCATTGTCAACCGAGCATGCGATATCGTGTGGGAAGCTGTTTATTAAGTACTCTTAAATTCTATCACCCTCCTGCCCTAATGATCATCCCTAGCCCAAGGGCATCGATTTGCCCGTATCACCCCTATTCTACCAGACGTGCAAAAGAAATATGCCGTAAAACACGAAAAGGCTCGTAAAAAGTATTCGAACTTACGTTAGGAATATTCGGGAGTCAATAAAATTCGAAATGGAACACGTAACACGGTAGGGAGAAGAAAAAAAAAAAAAAAAAAAGTTCCTGACGTTCGACACCGTAAATCGTCGCCCTGGTGAAACGATCGGATTCGCCTTCTTCTTCGTTTAATACGATTTATGCCCGATCAAGGGATACGAAATTTCATGGGAAATCGAGGAAACCAAACGGGAAATGTTATCCTCTCTAGGGTTAGTAGTCACGCGAGAGACACTCCGGTCGATGCTGCAATTAATAATCTTCGTCATCTTCATGGAGAATTAAACTGGCTTAATTGAAGAATTAGTTTAGATTGTTCCCCGTTCAAGAACACTATCGCTTTTAGCAATATAAGAATTTTAAATTAACAAAAATTTTAATAACGAGATATATTTCTGTATTACTGCTTATTTAAAAAATTTCGAAAATTACAAAGTTTTAAGTAGGAAATTTGAGAAGCTCAAAATTCATCAAATTATAATTTAAATAAAAAAAAATCCTTATAACTCGTTTCTAATTCCGCTCTAACCCGAACGTGTTATAAGTATCCATACGTGCACCGTTCCTCGTTGAATAACGCTATTAAACGACGTGACGCGTTTGAATGGTGCAAATTATTGTTTAAACGTGTGCTCCAACCGAGTTTCTAGCTGGCTGTGAATCGAAGTTAGCTTGAAATTGAGCACCAACTCGATTTAGTTCGTACACAAAGGTGCCAATGCACATGTTTGCTTTGGACGTGTGTGTGCGTGTACAGACACATATCAACGTGGTTTTATCGCATAAACTTATAGATATACATATTAACAGGAAACAGCACTAGGCGTGATAATTGCATTATGTTCTACTTGGCAAACAATTAGAAGTTGCATATCCTCTTGGAACTCTATACTAAATAAACATTTATATTATTATAATTTTAATATTATTTATAGAAAATATTTATTGCGATCTAATTTTCAACGAAACTCTATTTAAAGAAGGAACGGTGAAAAATGTAGAAAATTACATTAAATTAAAATTGTGCCTCTCCCCACGGTCTGGCGTCCGAGACCTAACATTTCTATTCACGCACATACACTTACCTGCTATTAAAAATAACTGAAAAACAAGAAAAGAAGGTATCATAGAACAGACTCTATTGTTAAACTCTATTATAACTATTTAATTAATTTATTTGTATTTTATCGTATAATCACTCGTAAGTACCGGGGATACGTAAACAATCAGCTGAAATTAGTTTAAATACAAATAGCCTAAAACACATCTGTTTGTTTACATACTTGATATTATTATTCACAGACAGACTTTATCCACGTCTCGGTTCACGATTTTTATAATATAATATAATTATTTTACTATATAATATTTATACATATACAATTGACCCGTATTATCTCGGATCGTAGACGTCAAAGAAGCCGAATTGGCAACGAACAAATATCGGCTAATTCGGCGACTTTGAATCCGCATTTTTTAAATTCTTTATTTATTTTCTTTTGTCATTTATATTTATATCTATATCCATATTGTATAGATTCATTTGAATTATTTCTTTAGGTACTTCCTTACGGGCAATCAGAATGTTTACGAATCGAAAAGAAACATCGAAACGCTATGTCGAGTGTCCTAATCTTTCCTTGCCATTTAATTATTGCTTTGAAACTATAGTTTAAACATTTAATATATTCACTAACAGCTTGTTCACGGTATCGTTGCTAATTTCATTCGAATGTACATACATATACGATCATTGTTAACGAGATACACGTTATATTTCTGTATAGTTAAATTTCGAGAAATGGAAATATGTATTCAAGAAAGAAAAAGATAATCTGAAATACTCATGTATCCCCTTAAGATTAAGGTACCAAAAAATGGTCCTATTGGCCAAGATATTTTGCCATTTTATGTATGTATATGTATATGTATACACCATGATACCATGGACCAGCGATTCGGTTCGGCCATTTAACTAACAGCATTTCATAGTTTCTTTTCGTTTCTATGTAGTATCTGGATCAACAGCAACAGCAACAGCAGCGTGGCCCATAAAAAGGTACCTTTACACGTTGACACTTATAGAACGATAACGGTCGGGAGTAGTACACTAAAACGGGTACAGAGCATTCTTTCGTTTAAATAATCTGAAAGATCGTGTGAGATGTCGTTTGTTTTGTGTGAAGACACTTTTGTCTACTTGCGCACGGTGGACGCGATTTTACCTAACGACTATCTAAAGATCTCTCTCATTCTTTCTCTCTCTCCCCTCTCTCTCTCTCTCTCTCTCCTTTCCCTTTCATTCTTTATGACCCCCATACACCCCAGAAAAATATATGTTATGTTATTATATTACCTATATGGCTTTGGTTCGAACCGTTTCAAATCTGATAAACGCGTGATATAGGCGAGGGATTCTTTGCTTGATTGTAGGAAGAAACATCCTTCCATATCGAAGGCGTTATTTTAATCTAACCCGCAAACTGATCCGGGACATTTAACAAATATTACACAAAATGAAAATTTGAAATTTCCAAATTTCTTTCTTGCCCTTTGGTTATCCATGCCTACCCTTACCATCGCCTAACTACAACCATAAAACATACTTTGGGATCAATAGGAAAATTTACTGGGACCATATTTTGGTTTTCGGACTTCATCATATTATGTAGAAATGGCTGACACAGGAAAATATTATTCAGACGTAGAAAAATCGTGAAAAATACAAAACTCCTTCTAGGATTTAAACCTGGACCCTTCGCAGGGGGAGGTTGACTACACCAAAGTCATACAACAACCAGTTCATCTGAATTTATCTTCATATACATATGTATAATGTAAATGACACAGAAATTAAAACGATTCTATTCGGTGATATTAGTGATTGAAATTATGAAATTTTGTGTCATGACAATGAGATGCGAGGTCATGGCACAATTTTTAATGTCACATAACCTAAGGTGCTTACTAAGATGCGAACAGTGACTACCATTTATTATACTACTAGTATTCACGATTTATGCGTGCATACTAATGGATTGTAATAAAAAACTAAATTGAGTGATTTATTTTAATTAATAATTCAGGAACGTTTATTTTATAAATGATCAAAGAAGGATCGATGATTTAACAGCTGCGAGTCAATAAATATTTTTCAGATCTTCCTCGTTCCCATATACCATTGCATGAATCATTGTACAAATATTATGCAAAAATGGTGATAATGCAAATTCACGCGATAACGCGTTGACATCTGCGAACATGGAAGATCCACCATCTGTAGATAAGAAGCTACTATGCCTTTCAAAATTCGACGATTTTCGAGCTTCCGTTACCTGTTCTTACTTTATAAATGAAATTTTCAAACGGAAAATTAGATCTTCCTAAAATAAACCCCTATTTAGGAATGTCCAGTGATAAAGAGACGAAAACATGGAGATTCAATACCAGTCTATTCTCAAGTTCGACAACTCAGAGACAATTTCGTCGAGTAAAAAGAAAGAAGCTTTCATCTGTATTGTAGTGGTAATATTATGATTGTTCGTGCACACACGGTTACAGTACAAATTTAGACACAGCAAGAAATATCTATAGACGAGCCAAGGTTGGCTTTTTCACAAAGTGAAACCGCACCTCCTTCTATCGTCCACTGTTCTATTTCGAGGATTTTCTAAAATTTATCGCTCGCCTCGTTATACATATACCCGTTGCTTCCACTAATACGACTCGGTCGCCATCAATTGGGATGCTATGGCACGCTATAAACAATGTATGTATGTATGTATGTATGTACACGTGATTCTCTGTTGCCTCACACAATTTGCTGTGACGTTACATTGTGTGAGAAAGATGGAGACTGGCCAGAATCCGATGATTCCTTAGACAAGTTACGTTTCAATAGAAGATTTAATGATTATAATGAAAATTTAGTAAAATGGGTAGAAAATAAGGAACCATTTACCTATATGACAAGGGACTATTTTAAAGAAGCAAACTGAATATCTTGAATTATTTATGAAATAACTTTGGTTTCTTAATTGTTCATTATTTGTATTATTTGTATGATCGTTTCTAGATGTTTTATACCTATAAACTTTAAATTGGGGTACCATAAGTGCCATTTCATGAAACTCTTCTATCATGAACTTGTCTCAGAATGTGTCCATCTAAAAATTGGCCATTTTCCAGTAGTACCTATTTTTATTTTCTTCAGTTATCTCAGGCTAAGAATATTAATGAATCATTGTATATGATAATTCTCAGGAAGTTTTAAGTTTTAAGTCGAGATGCTATCATCTCGTATCATTTTATGAAACTTTTCTGTCATGAAATTTGCAGGGAAGAGGATCGTAGGATTACGTGTAGAAAACCATCAGTAAATCAATAAACAGGACTACCTTTAAATTATATAATCTTTACAATAGGATTTATTTTAAATTAATATTTACAAAAAAGGGAAAAATGAATGGTAACTTGTCGAGGTATAGTGATAGCAGAAATATTGACCTTGGTGGAGCTATAATGTTCCGAAAATTGTTAAAATTATATCAAGTGATATTCCACGTTCCTTTCTATGCTACTAGAAAGAATGAAATGTTAAATTTAAAAAATAAAAAATGACAGACTATATTTCTGCAAAAACTATACCACAAGCTGTTATCATTTTCTACAATATACATGTTGATAGGAATCGTAGATTTACTACAATGATCACAAGGCGAGAAGAAAGAAATTCCTCATTTACAAATGACCCTCCCCCATCCATCATGTACTACATAGAAAAAAATCATTTCTTTATCGTCAACTCACAATTATTAATCGCTCGACACGTGACAATCATGAATACACATGCAGAGCTAATGTAGGAAGACTCACATGAGATTGTAAGTCGTTCGAACATATTGGTTCTTGTCAATTGGATTCAATCGATTCATAAAAAAATATGCCTCTGTACTGGATGGTTCAATATTAGTGCGACAGATCTTATTCTCGATGTTCAGATCGTAATCTATAAAATTTTCCTGCTATTACAAATAATGATTCTCTCTGGTTTAGTCAGTTCAATGGTACAGTGTCGAGCACGGAGGCTTCCTTAATAAAAATATTATTGGGAAAGGAGGGTCCATCACTCGTATTTTACAATTAAAAATTATATAAATTAATCATTATTCTAATTAGAAATTAGAAATTAGAAATTATAATCGTTCAGACTCAGTATAGTACATACATGGTAACTTCTCAGTATCATAGCCACTGATACTGATAGAACCTCTCCTACGTCGCCATTTTCCTTGGGAAAACTGACTCCATATTGTCAATAGTACAAGAAAATTACCTATTTGTCATGGTTTTCACAATTAATTCCAAATGGATATCCGTCAACAGAACGACCTTCAAAATTGATCTGGACCATGAATTTTTAGGCGAGGGTCAATTCTGAGGGTCCAATCCATACTTTTTTATTTTTCTATTTTTCTTTTTCTTTCCTTGAACAAAAAGAGGTTTTATGGGAAAGAAGAATAATGCGATCTATACGTGTCACAGGCACGATCCTCTTGGTTCTATGTATAGCTTCTCGAATTCTTTAGGGATCGATGCCGATAGGAGAGGTTAGGAATGACTGGTGCGTGTGAAATGGATGATCGAGACGCGTGCAACGACACAACCAGATGATGCTTTAGACACGAGTTAATTAATTTTCAGCAAAAACCGTTAATTATTGTGAGTTCAAACAAGTGGTCACGCGACTATGATATCCTCAATCCTCATACGGCTAAAATATATGTATATTTTTCACATTTTGTGTGTGATTTCTATTTTTTACTGTTTTCAATAAAATTTCCTTGCTATAAATAAAATTATCACAACAGTAATTTCTTTATATACCTGCAAATATTTTGAATAATAATTAAGATAGAGAGTTCTATTAAGACACATTTACCAGGATATGCCCCCATTTTGTATTATAGTTAGGTTATTTTGTACAATGATTAAACACACCAATCAATATAAATAAATATTGATATAGAGAGCCTCTGAGATTCTCAAGAGTTCTTAACACATTCAAGCCCGGTGTAACAGGCAGGCATAGCTCAGCCCAGATAAGACAATCATGTGAAATTGATAAGTTCCTTTTTTCGTAAATTCATTCAAATATTTTTGTGCAATTTGGAATTTGTAATACAGGGTGGCCCATAAATCGCCTAAAATTAAAATTTTATTAATGTATTCGTTTCTTTCTCTTTCCTTGGGACATTATGGTTATGGAAAATGTCATAGGAAAATCTTGTGCTTACAAAATAAGAAAAAAAAGAATTTCTGTTTTCTCTACTTTATTGTATAAAAATATAAAGGAACAATTAATTAATTCTCGGAGTTAAATAATACTTTATTACACTGTTAAATATTTAAATAGTATAAAGTGATTTATGGATCACCCTGTACAAAACAGTAATAAATAAATCTCCACTTTTCATAAACAATATGCTATTTCCGTAACAATAAAAAATCAAGAAAAATCAAGAATCAGAATAAATAATAAGAGATTCGACAGAGATACATAATTATAAACTATAGGGAGCTGGAATGATTGCTTGCTAATGGCATAGGGACAACGGGGGTTCTTGGCACACGGCACACACCACCGTATTCCTTTCGCATGCTATCTTTCCAGCTCTCTATATTACTTATATGTATATGTACACATTCGAGGTTCGTAGGCCCCTTTAATATCCCACCACGACTAGAAGTAGAAGTTGTAACGGATGTCGTCATAAGATGTCATTCTCGATATGACAGAGAGGCGATAACAATATTGATCGATTTGAAGATCAGTATACGATCCTGAGAGCATATCATCTTATGACGTCACTCGGTCGTCAAACTTGACATCTTATGATGGCACCCGGTGCTAAAAGTGTTAAGATGTGCCCATATATTTTTTTTTTTTTCCCATCTATTGTACAATCGTATGCAAGGATGACTTCTCTCGTTTAAAAAAAAGATCATCTTTCCCTTAATCGAAGGTTGCCATCTTTGCACAAGGGTTGTACATACATACATGAGTTACACGAAGTACTCTACTGAGGTACAGCTCGATGAATAGATTATCCTCGGAGACGTTTAAGTACGTGTACGTTCATTGAATTACGTGCGGGTGTATATGTGTCTGGCATGCATGGCTTCGTTCGCCAACCGATTACGAAGCGCCCAATCGAACAGCCTTCAATTATTTCACAGCTACGTGATTGGACAACAAAATTCATCGTCCGAATAATCAACTATACCACA